CGGGGCCGCTCCTGGCGCCGGGCCCGGCGGGGCCGCCCTGGTGGCTCCGTTCGGTGTGAGAGGATGGAGGCGGCGTTGGAGCCGGCTGCGTTTGTAGCCTGGAGGACGGCTCCCGAGGCGTCCTCCGGGGTCTCCTCCGGGGCCCGGCACGCACGGCGCCCCGGGGCCCGAGACAACGGCCGCCCTAGCGCAGCCCTTGACGTTTGCTCGGTGCCGGGCGCGGCCGCGGAGCCGTGCGCGCTCCCCGCCTCCTCCACCGCAGGGACCCATTTAATTGTACACGTTCGAACCGCTCAGCTTCCGGGGGACTCGCCTTCCACAGTGGGCGTGAGGTGTGGCTAAGGTTCCGTCACTTAACTTTGGGTGCCAACCGCTTTTTAGATGTGCAAGAAACTCTTCTTGGGACCGATTAGGAGATGGGAAAGATTTCAAGAGAATTTGTTACGAGGAAGTAGGAGGAGCAGGTGTCAGTTACACTTGAAAATACACTGTGACACTGCAAACCTACCTCGAGTTTGGCGCAGTGGTAACTAGGAAAACCGTAGACTTCATGTAACTAGATGATGACCACATTTAACTAATGACATGGAGTGGGAACATGTATCTTGGAAATGACATTTAGAAATAAAATGCAAGGGTTTATATACCAAAATCCATTGTTCAAAAACTGTAATAATTGTTATTTTTCTTTTGAAGCAGGTTCTCAAGATCGACCTGTCTTGTTTGTCTGTCTGTCTATCTATCTATCTATCTATCTCCAAAGCTAGGCTCAAACTTGCTCTGTAGCCCATGCTGGCTTAAGGTAGGAATTCTACCTTAGCTCTCCCTGGGATTATAGGTGTGTGCTATCACACTGTATCACAATGTATAATTTCATTTCAGTCAGTAAGTGTTAAGTGTCTATATTATTATATGCGCCCAAAATGATATAGAAGAAATGAAAGATTGCACACTTTACATCATCAGGAAAGCAATAAGGTGACAGCGGTTAAAATGCAAACTGTATGGTAGATATTAAGTACTGTAGTAGGTCAGAAGGTGGAGAAGTCATTATGGACTGCGGTTTCAGGGCTATCTTTATGGATTAAATGAGACTTGATTTTTCTTCAGAGTATAGATACAATCTGCACTTATACCGGAGGGGTTTTGGAGGGCTAAATTAGATGTTTTTGATGTATACCTGTACTGGGGTTTGAACTGGGTGTCTGGGTGCTGTCTCTTGGCTCTTTTGCTCAAGTCCCATAGACTTTCAGCCTGAGCCGGCTTTAAATTGTCATAGTCAGATATCAGCCTCCTGAGTTGCTAGGATTGCAGGCGTGAGCCTGTAATTAGTCCCACTAATTTTCTTAAATTCTTTAGGGTTTGGAAATAGTTTCATGTGACATTTTCTTTCTGTTTTTTTGGGGGGAGGGGAATTTATTGTTGTTATAAAGGTGATGTACAGAGAGATTACAATTACATGAGTCAAGTAATGAGTACTTTCCCTTTTGTACAATATCTTCTGTACCCTCACTCTCTTCCATTTCCTCCCTCCTGTCTCCACCTACAAGTTGTATAGTTGACATTTTCTTATTTTAATCTTTAAGGCCATTTGGTTTCTGATCTATTTATTTTTAAATACTCTCAGTATAAATCTCTGTGGCATTTTTTCCCCATGTTTGTGATCAAGGATAATGGGGCTACTAGCAGGGGATTTGCACCTTAGAGATGGTTTGCTTCTGCATTTGAACCGCAGCAGTATAAGTAGAATTAGTTGTTATTACATATGTGCTTAAAACTCTTGTGCATGTTAACTTGACTGACATTTCCTGAGTTCAGTTACGTAGTAGACGCCCAGTCAGGAGATATCAAAACCAAATTACTCAGCAACCAGTAGCTGTGCTTTATCTATCATAGGAAAGAGAGAGAGAGAGAGAGAGAGAGAGAGAGAGAGAGAGAGAGAGAGAGAGAGTGTGTGTGTGTGTATGGGGAGAGGGGAATTAGCTTACCTGTCTGATGTTCAGTGTTTGTTTTGAGACACAGAAAAGCCAGACTAGCTATTTTTAAGGCTCATTTTCTTTGTGAATCCACCAAAGATACATTTATGAGGAAGTACAACATTAGTTATACAGAGGAGGATTTCATTGTTATATCTCCATACATGTTTATAATACGTTCCAGTCAGTCTCACACCTATCACTCTCTCTTCCTTCTTCCTAAGACAATTTCAATCGACCATATGAGAATACACAAATTCTTACAACCTCTTAAAATGTTTCGTTGCTTTCTTACAGATTTCATGTTCATTTCTTATTTGAGGGCTCTTTTGGTACCAGGCACTGTGGTTGGCCTTGGAATTAGGAAGAATGAAGACATGGTCTCTATCCTCAGCAGATGATAATCAAAGAATTTATACCAATGTTCACTTGCCTCTGTGACAAACATTTTGGCTAGGGAATCACCGAAGGGAATTGGGACTGAGATCTGCAGGATGCACAGGCAAGGCAGTGTTCCAGCCAGAGCAGTTAGTGGGGCAGAAACTCTTTCATGTCCAGTTCATAGAGAAGATGAGGGATTCAGGATACAGTCTTGTATATGGAGCTGGAAGAGTGTAGAAGAATCTGGTGGGAGAGAGTGCTATGCTGAGAGGTGGATGGGGGTTACCTGGTGCCAGGCCTTAGAGTCAAATTGAGTTTTTTATTCTGTATCCTGAATAGGGAGAAGCTACTATAAAAGTTCTATTTGGTGGGGGGAAGGGGGGAGGCGGGGAAGGGATGTGAAGGGTAAACCAAAGGAGGAGGCTGCAATGCTTGGTAAGAAATGTACGCATTATCCTGCCCATGTTCACAAATAAAATAAAATTAAATTAAAAAAAAGAAAAAAAAGTTCTATTTGGAGGCTTAGGCTGGATTTGGGGTGAGGATGACACAGTGGTGTTTGAATAGCTTGCTTTGTATTTCTACCACTGCTTAGTATTTGTATTGTTTTCTCATCCTATTTCCTCAGCTTTGTTATAGTGGAAACTTCCATGTCTCACTATCAAGATGTATTTACTTTTTTTTTTAATAATTGAGAGAAAATAATTTAGGAATTAAGATTGTTCCATAGGAGTTACTTGAGTTGAAATACTGCAACATAGTAATTCTCTTTATTCCCTTCCCTCTTTTCTTTTGGTGTTGATAGTGGGGCTTCAAATCAGGTCTAGGCATTGTCCCTTAGCTTTTTTACTCAAGGCTGGTGCTCTACCACTTGGCCACATCTCCACTTCTGGCTTTTTTGGTGGCAAATTAGAGATAAGAGCCTTACAGACTTTCCTGCCTAATGTGACTTCAAACCATGATTCTTAGATCTCGGCCTCATGAGTATCAGCTAGGATTACAGGTGAGAATGAATGGTGCCTGAGTTATATGGACTACTCTATAGATGATTGTTAAGCCCATTTACTGTATGGCACTGTTTAAATCTGAGGTTTGTTTTTAAATTGACTTTTTTTTTAAATGTTAGAATGATGTGTCTGTTGATGAAATGGGAGTATTGAGGTCATTCAGATCCAATTACTGTGCTTGGATCTGTTCTTTTATGTCCAGTAGTTTTTAATTTTTAATAACATCAAGTATATAAACAATTTGGTACATAAGAATTTAAAATTGTTATGATCTTCTTCATAAAGTGTTCCCTTATTAATAGGTAGTGCTGTTATTTGTCTTTTTTTTTTTTTTTGCTAGTCCTGGTGCTTGAACTCAGGGCTTGGGTGCTGTCCCTGGGCTTTTTTTAATTTTAATTTTTTAACCTTTTTTTTTGCTGGTTGTGGGGCCTGTACTTTGGGCCTGGGTGCTGTCCCTCAGCTCTTCAGCTCAAGGCTAGCGCTCTACCACTTGAACCACAGTGCCACTTCCGGCTTTTTTTTTCTGCTTATGTGGTGCTGAGGAATCGAACCCAGGGCCTCATGCATGCAAGGCAAGCACTCTACCACTGAGCCACCTTCCCCAGCCCTCCCTGAGCTTCTTTTACTCAAGGCTATCAGTCTACTACTTGAGCCACAGCACCACTTCCGGCTTTTTCTGTTTATGTGGTACTGAAGAATCAAACCCAGGGCTTCACTCATGCTAGGCAAGCATTCTACCACTAAGCCACATTCCTAGCTCTCTTATTTATCTTAAAAAAATTCTTTATCTTCTTTATTCTCACTAAAGTTGGGCTGAAGTCTTTCAGATATGAGTATAGCTACTACTGCCATATTTGGCTTCCATTTACTGCTATGCCCTTTCCATCCTTCCATTTTCAGTCTGTGTATATCTTTGCTAGTGGAGAGATGTTTCTTAAAAATAATAGTGTCATCAAATAAAATGTATTTTTTTCTTTATTACTGAATGTAGTATTTCCTCAGTCCAATCTTCTGTCCTGGTAGTCTTCCTCTTCTTGATCCTCCTGGTCATGCTCTCTGCTGCTTTTTTAAACTTTGATTTATTGAAGTGTTTTCCAACAATTCCATTGTCTTCCCCCATTCCCACATCTCAATTTCCCTGCTGGATTTCTCAACTGTGTTGACTTTTTTGTTCAGGTCTTGAATTAACTTTTCCTTCCTTCCTTCCTTTTTTCTTTCTTTTCTTCCTATCTTTCTTTCTTTTTTGTTGGCTGTGGGGCTTGAACTCAGGCCCGGACACTATACTTGAATTCTTTTACTCAAGGCTGACACTCTACCACTTTGAGCCACAGCATTACTTCTGGTTTTCTGGTGGTTAATTGGAGATAAGAGTCTCACAGACTTTCCTGCCTGGGCTGGTTTTG